TGTTGAGAAATTTCTTCATAATTATTTTCAAATTTCTTAATATATGGAACTTGTTGAAAAGAGAGCTCCCAAAGGAGCATACCAAAACTATCAAATAAATATAAATTGATGAATAAATCCATAAAAATTAATTGGACAATGTGCAAATATCATCCTTACTAACCTAAAAACTTCACATTCAACTGAATAGGAAGTTTTTTTCAATTTTTCAGGTGCTGTCCAACGTTCCATTTCATATTTTTTTTCTCCTGACTTAAATTGTCTACTAATGTCTCCAAAATTTCTACTTAAAAAAAAGTTTGCAATTTTTGCTGTGGCAATTCCTGGCCCCATAATCTAAACAAATAAAAATGGCAATAATAATAACAATTTTAATAACAATTTTAATAACAATTTTATTATTAAGATAATTAAAAAAACAAAGATTTTTTTACCAATATATTTTTGCATCTAACATCACGATGATAAAATTCACATTTATGTAAAAATTGCAGTCCAAGGCAGATATCATATGCAATCTTTAATTTTTTTTTCCAAGGAATCAGTTTATTTTGCTTATTATATTCTTCATATACATATTTTAAATTTCCCCTATGTGCCCAATCAAATATTAATACATCCTTATCATTAACACGTGATGTGCCATGAAATTTTATAATACTATCTGATGAATGTAATTTACTCAAGATTGCTAAAGTTGCTTCCAATTCATCCTTTTCATCCTTGTAATAGAGTTGCGCATTAAATGGTACACAAGCAACTTGTATAGTTTCTTTTAACATTTTTTTAAATACTTTTCCTCGAACAGAAATGTTATCTGGTTTTGGATCTGTTAAATCTTTTTCTTGAAATTCATCGTATGAGAGAGAAATTTTGAACTCGCCTTTGTTTACTTTATGTGTTTCCTTTGCAATCATTTTTGACTGAGGATCAAGATTTTTAGAATTTTCCGTAAGATTTTTTTTAAATCTATCTTCAACAGTTTTTAAAAATAATTCAAACTCCTATATTAATATAATAATAAATTCATTATTCATAATCATCAATCATCATATTTAAATTATTTACTTACCTTTCGAA